AGTTCTCTTGTTCTTGGTTCATGTAAAGCCTTGGTTTTGGATTTTAATCCTAGAAGTTTTCTATGTTCCTGTTCATGTACTCCTGTTCAAATTTTATGAGTGATACCTTTTTCCTTGTGGACTTAAGCTGTACCTGCAATTTCTGGCTGTTCCTTGACCTTGTCACCTCTGAAACGTTATGGGACATTTGGATTATCACCTGTTCCTATTCCTGCTTTTTTAATATGCTTTTTATGTATTTTACAATAAACTGTCTGCTTATATTCCTTGTGTGGTACAGAGGTCGTAGGTGTTTCCAGGCCTGGGGTGCAACACACAGGAATTCCCATTTTTTTCACAATATTTTCAATGGCAAATCCCATGATTGTCGAAACAACTCCGATGCATTCTTTCGTGAGACTGTTGCAAGTGTTAATTCTTGAGAGGAGTAACTCTGAATGATGCTTTCCTTTTTATCGGCAACTTCCTCTTGTTATCGTGACTGTGTTTATTGGGATTTTTTTCCTATGTAATTTTGATGATGTTGTTTGGTGTGTATTTTTTTGGTTTTATTCTGCTGTAATAAAACCCCATGTAAGCCGCTCCGAGTCCCCACTGGGGAGATGGTGGCGGGGTATAAATAAAGATCTAGGGAAGTAATGCTACCCCTCTATTCCGCTTTGGTTAGACCACACCTGGAATATTGTGTCCAGTTCTGGGCACCACAATTCAAGAGAGATATTGACTCTTAGCTGGAATGTGTCCAGAGGAGGGCGACTAAAATGATCAAGGGTCTGGAGAACAAGCCCTATGAGGAGCGGCTTAAGGAGCTGGGCATGTTTAGCCTGAAGAAGAGAAGGCTGAGAGGAAATATGATAGCCATGTATAAATATGTGAGAGGAAGCCACAGGGAGGAGGGAGCAAGATTGTTTACTGCTTCCCTGGAGACTAGGACGCAATGGGACAACGGCTTCAAACTACAAGAAAGGAGATTCCATCTGAACATGAGGAAGAACTTCCTGACTGTGAGAGCCGTTCAGCAGTGGAACTCTCTGCCCCAGAGTGTGGTGGAGGCTCCTTCTTGGAAGGTTTTAAACAGAGGCTGGATGGCCAACTGTCAGAGGTGATTTGAATGCAATATTCCTGCTTCTTGGCAGGGGGTTGGACTGGATGGCCCATGAGGTCTCTTACAACTCTTTGATTCTTTGATTTTATGATTATTATTATTGTATTGTCGAAGGCTTTCATGGCCGGAATCACTGGGTTGTTGTAGGTTTTCCAGGCTCTATGGCCATGTTCTGGAGGCATTTTCTCCTGACGTTTCGCCTGCATCTATGGCAAGCATCCTCAAGGGTAGTGAGGTCTGCTGGAAGTAGGAAAATGGGTTTATATATCTGTGGAATGACCAGGGTGGGACAAAGGACTTTTGTCTGCTGGAGCTAGGTGTGAATGTTACAACTGACCACTTTGATTAGCATTTAATGGCTTGGAAGTGCCTGGGGGGAATCTTTTGTTGAGAGTGATTTGATGTGCCGGATTGTTTACTCTCTGTTGTTTTGCTGTTGTAATTTTTGAGTTTTTTAATACTGGTAGCCAGATTTTGTTCTATTATTATTATTATTATTATTATTATTATTATTAGATATGCCTGTGTTGTGATTTTGTTGGTGGTGTATGCTGATGCAGCTGGCATGGGCAAACCTCAGCCCTCTAGGTATTTTGGACTGCAACTCCCCAAATTCCGAACAGCGGGTAGGCTGTTAGGAATTGTGGGAGTCTAAGTCCAAAACACCTGGAGAGCCAAGGTTTGCCCATGCCAGGTTGTGCGTGTGTGTTATAATACACCAACAATGGCATTACAAGGAATAAAGGGGTAGATATACGAGGTCCAATCGATGGCCCCAAAAGGGATCAATCCTGGCCCACTAAAGCCTCTAATTAAGTGTTGTGTCCCTCCACCTGAGCAGCGTGTGACTAAGCGCAACAGAAGCAGCAATATAGCAGCAGCGGCAGCAGTAGCGGCAGCAGCAACAGCAAACTCTTGGTGCCTTGCCTTGCCTCCTGCAGAACTGGGCCCTGGACCGTGATGGTCCGGACTACGTCCCTGCTCCTTGCTTGCGGCTTCGTCCGGCCGTGGCCTTCCCTGTGCGGACCACGCTCTGGTCTTGGCCCCTGGCAACCAAGAGCAGACCCCTGCTGAGGCCTGACGAGAAAGCAATAAACTCTCATTGTAAATATGAACGACGGACGCCAACATGCTGGGAGTCAGCAGCTTTCTTGGCTCGCGAGGAAAACAAAAAGAAAAGGCGCACGAGCAAAACGTAGAGTCTGAAGGAACGGGGAATGTTGAACGCAGGTACCCATGTTCACTTGAGTCTAAAGATTGATCGAATCTAATGCGCACCTGAATTTACAAAACCCTGCAACCAAAAAAGGATTCGCGGATGGATTTAACGTGCAGGAGCAAAACGTGCACTTTTTGTAATATGCCAATTACAGTTGCCGCCCGCTTAGGATTCCGTCTTGAAAACAAATTGTGTTAGAACACAATGGAAAAGAAATGTTAGAGCGCATCTATGTTGCAGAATAAATCAACTTTCAATGCCTTGGTTCAATATGATATTATAATTATATATTTTATATTACATGTAAAATAATAATAATAATAATAATAATAATAATAAGCCAGCGGAGTGATCTTGTCGGTTGTGTTTCAACTAATAATAATATCGGCCTTTGGGCTGATATGGGTGGGATAAAAGTTACGCAAATAAATAAACAAATCTATATAAATAAAAAAGTAATGTTCGTTTGCTGGGATTAACATAACTCCAAAACCACTGGACGAATTGACACGAAATTTGGACACTATACCTCTAACAGACCAATGAGTGACCATCACTCATAACCGCCC